ACAGCATGAATTAATTTATAGATAATTCCCGAAACAAGAAAAACTTCTGTCTCGATCCACTGACAGAGTTCTGCTATATATAAATAATGATTATGGCTTAATATGTGAATAATGACTCACTTTGGTTCCTGAGTGCGCAAGATGATTGCCTTTAAAGTATTTCCTGCCCCTTTAATGCACAGATTTAAATCAAATCTGCTGCTTTCAAAAGTCAAAGGTTACGAAGCCACTGGGTCACGCTTGGTACTCTGAATATAGTTCTCTAGATGTTTAACTAATATAGCAGATGTTTCTCTGTGGCAAGACGCAATGTGTCTACGTGTGTCTGTGTAATATCCTCCTTTTTTTGCCCTCTCCGTCTTCTCCCTGTTACCTTGGCTGCAGATGAAGGGGATTCGCTCTCTGGCGCATTAATCCCATGAACAACACAGAGACGTTAACAGGCACAGCCATCTTCTCAGGCGACTGAAGAACCTTGGCACGTCTCTAACATGAAATAAAGACATCAGAGCAGCGTTGTTAGTTTCTGCCCCTGTTGAGAGAACACTCTGTGATGCCAGGCCTGGCTCGCAGACCGCACTTCTTACTGGAGATGTAAACAAATAGCGCTGGCAGGCCCGAGCCGGCCACCTGATGCCGAGGAAGGCACATCATGAGCCAGATGTGAGACTTATGGGAGATGAGTTGCGGTTAAAACTGCCTCAAGCTTAGGCAGCTCGTAGTATAGTTCCATCAATCAATCAAATTCAACTGAGTAGCACAAATTATACATTCTCTTAGGGGGCTTTACGGTGTTTACAGCATAAGACACCCTCTTCCCTTCCTTACATGGAAAACTCCCAAAGAAACCCCACAATTAACAGGGGAAAACAAATGACAGATCAACTAGACTTGAATAAACTGGAAAAGTAATAAAATAAGGTACAAATGAACAAAAACATCACACACACAAAAACATGTTATATTTTTTAATATACCCAAAAATGCTGTCAATGGACATTGTTGACCATCAATGGAACACAGGCAGCCTCAAATACAATTTAAAAAAGATTATGGTTAGGGTGTGATACAGCTTTACAGGGTTGTATGTACTGAAGGCAATGGAAAATGTGCCTTCCCATGTGCATTTTTTTTACTTCATTTATTTCTTATGTATTGTATTCTATCAAATGTAATCTAATATAAAGGAATTATACGAGGAAAAAATGCAGACAAACTCAGTTAAAAGATAAGATGATACATTTAAACTTGACATTTCCCAGTTTTTGTCCCTAGAGCTGAATACATGTAAAAGAAGCCCTGATGGGATTTGAAGTAAGAGTGTGTCTGTGGGTGCAGAGCTGCTGGTGTGTGACCTCACGGTGCCTCAGGTGTGTTTATGTTTGTGACAGCTCCTCTCCTGCCTTTATTCAAATGATTGCACAGCGTGACAAAACACAGCAACACTCAACCCGTGTTTCATTGCACCCTCTGCTAAAAAAAAGTGTTGTTTGTGAGTTTCTCAGGGATGATGTCTTCCCTGTAAACCTCTGTAAACCACAGGCATTTCCGACTCTGCGATTGTGAGTTGTTAATGTTTACTCCAATGCCAAATAGTGTTGAATCACATGTGTCAAGTGGCACCTCCCGAGGATGGGTGTTTACCTAACCACAGACATTTGTGTTTCAGTTTCAGACCTGGAGATGTTGAAACCCTCGTGCTGGCACTTCCTATTAGCTTGTCTTGTTAGCGTAGCAGCTTGTCATTGCGCTGTTAAAGGTTAAATATAGTGTCTTCTGTTAATCATGTAATCAGATCTCTCCGGCCTCTTCTGGGTTTGTGGCTCACTACTAATACTGAGAAATAATAAAACCACAGCAGCAGACATTCGTAGAAATTATTATGGTATTTTCTCAAACTGGGGATTTGAAACTGCTGTGTGTGTGTGGTGTGTGTGTGTGTGTGTGTGTGGTGTGTGTGTGTGTGTGTGGTGTGTGTGTGTGTGTGGTGTGTGTGTGTGTGTGTGTGTGTGTGGTGTGTGTGTGTGTGTGTGTGTGTGTGTGTGTGTGTGTGTGTGTGTGTGTGTGTGTGTGTGTGTGTGTGTGTGTGTGTGTGTGTGTGTGTGTGTGTGTGGACCACATTGGGCTTCCCTGCATTTATTACCGCGATTAGAGGATGTTTGGGCTCATTGCAGCGTGCAACTTTTGAACCCCAGGTAAAGCATTTCCCACATGTCAAAGATTCCGTTTTTTTTTTTTTACTCCAATGTGACCGCACCCGATTTAGGCCCACGCACGTACCACAATTACCGTTCTGATGAAACAGGGGAACGGCTGCTGCTCCAGAGCTGGAAGCCAGATCAAAGGGAACATGATCATTTTTTTATTTGACCTCTTTCTGACCATCAGCACTACGGCCACCACCGGCGGTTCTGTGGGGCAATGTTGTTAACTCTCAGCTGCACAAAAACACGCACTGTATGCACACTCACAGTCAGTGTACGTGCAGCTTTTAACTTCTGCAGCAGGCATGAGGTCACCCTGGCCAAAATAATTGCTTTACACTGTATTATCCAGATCATTTTAGAAAATTGCCTTAAACTTTCAAACATACTTGAATCACTTAACAAACCGATTTGTTTTTTATTGCATCACAGATAGTACATGCGTCTTGTTTAAGTGAACATTATTTTAAGTGATCAAATAATCTTAAAAAAGGTAGTCAATAATTAGGAAGGTCCCTGCATTAATAGCAACATGTTGTGAGTCTGTTTTTTACTCCTATCAGGATATTCACTTTCAGTATCCCCAGTATCTAGGGGTCAGGGAAACAATTGACACAGCATAGTATAACAGTATTTTGTGATATTGATTGTTTTATATTTAATATTGAAAATACTATTTAAACGTTTTGGTTGCACTCACTATTTCAGTCCACTTGATGGGGCTGAGTGAGGTTATGGGTAATATCAGCTTAAAGGTGGTCAAAAAATAGCAGAATGAAACTAAACGCTGCATAATAGAAATGCAGTTAAAGGATACAAAGCAATACATTGCAATATATGTTATCACAAAATGTTTAAAGTGGCAGTAGGGTTGTATTGGGCTTAATTATGGCAATAACATGGTATTGTGAGGGCCTCTGATGGTTCACCCATAATATGAAAGCATCCCTTATATACTGTGTACATTGAGGGTGTGTGTAGTGTTTGACGCGGGGATTAGGTGTTTAAACTTGTGTTGTCGGCAGATGCCAGACGCTTGACAGCATGTGATGAAGTATTAATGGAAAGACTGCTTTTTGTTTTTAAACTGTCTTCTAGTGAAACTGGAAAAAAAGTATTTCTGGATTGTTTTAGGGCACACACACACACACACACACACACACACACACACACACACACACACACACACACACACACACACACACACATACTGAAAAGACATTCACACCACAAGTGCTATTTTGGGGTGTTAGAGTGACAATATGCAAATGCACTTTCCCTGTTAGGCTTTGATTGAGAGAAACTTAATTATAGTAAAAATGAAGGAGTAATTATAGACCTCAGCCTTCTTTAACTAAAAAATGTATTGCACTGTTACGGAAAAAGATTCACAGACCAGGCAATACCCAATGGAACTTTTTATAGAGCATTTTGTTCGCAATGATAATAAGCTAAACTGCATATATTTGAGAATGAATAGATGTCTCTAATAGTTAGGTTTGCGAGATCAGATTTATAAAATGGGAAACACTGTTAAGCTTGAAGCTGAAAACATGAGCCAATACACAAAACAGATAGTTTAAAATATATGTTTCACAAAGACGTTTTCTTTATTTGAAGAAGTGCAGTGATCATAAAGTGACATTCACAACCTAAGACTAATTAAAGACCCTAAAAACGACCTTACCCTAATGGTCCAACTGGTTAGAAACGGGTGGTTGTAAATTCACCTGATTTGCCATTGTACTCGTTCTGTTAAAATAGTATATAAGTATTAAAATCCCTCACTGTGAAATGACTCATGGAAACTAAGATGGCCATAAGCATGTGAGTCTATAACACATTTTCCTTTCACTCAGTCAAATCATCCTGCATTATTTCTTGTTGCTTTACGCTCCAACATTAGAAAAGGGTTCAGATCAGGCAGCAGATTGGTGCTGCGGCCTTCAGCTCCATGCTTCCACTCTTCAGTCAGTGTGTGGCTCACAGTCAGGTGGAGCAGTGGGAGGAGGAGCTGCACTTTGGTCTGTGTGAGGGCCTGGGGCTCAGTGCAGGAGCGCCACCTAGTGCTCGAGTTAGGACCTTAAATAAAGTGCTATGGTGTTAATGGGTTAGGGTTAACATCTTTACACCATGAAAATCCCCCGATGAATTACTTCAATGATTTCCTTTTTGTATTACAGGTTTTCTGAAATAGTATGATTAAATATGTAAATCAGGCATTATCTCATCGTCATCCTCTTCCGGAACAGAAATCTGAACATTGGTTCAAGCCAGGTTAAAAAATGACATATTAGAGCTAAGGGAATTTGGGGGATCTATCTTCTGGTATGAGAAGAAACACTCATTTGATAAATATGATAAATATATGTTTTCTTTTATTCCATACATTTTGCAAGACACTACAGGTGAAATTGAAAACTTCCGCAATAGTTTATTTTACACCAAAAATGTTTTTATACGTTTTGTGAAATGTTTGAATCTGCAAAAGGCTCATTTTAGTACATTTAGGAGAAATCTACAGACACAAATAGACACCTAATTGTTTATTTTTGGATGTTTGCTTTACACTGCTCAGAACCAAGACAGGGAAGCAGAATAACCCAGAAATGGCCAGTGAATTCAAACAAATGTGTATCATCATAACGAGTGTTCTGTTCTGTAGCACAGGTTACCAGCTTTCCTAATGAAGAAGTCTCCATTATTCACGTCACATGACTTGATGCATCTCCCAAAAGATGTCCTGCTGTCTTTATGTTTTGTTTATAACTGTCTTCTCTGTGCTGTCTCCTTCAGGCTCGTATGGCATTGGACAAAGGAGCTCAGGCCGTGATCTTTGATGTCAGTGATGATGCTAATGCTGCTTTTGAGGTGAGTGTACAGCCACTGTTGTACTAATCTTTAAAGTATGTGAGAGGATAAAACACACTCACGTGTCTGTGTCCTTTACCTTCCTATTCACTAACGCACAGCTGAGAGAAATAGACTTCCTTCGCGGCCCCGTGGTGCTGGTGGAGGCAGAGAATGCTGAGGAGTTGATGGGTTTGGTCAACAAGAACGAAGAGGCCAAAGTTACTATTGAGCTCCTGGTGGAGCTGCCCAGTTGGGTAAGCCCTGAAACAATGACTCACATCTTTCTGACATTCCTTTCATTAACTAGGGGGGGGGGGGGGAGAGGATCTCTCTACGCTTTCTCACAAAATAACTTTCTCTGCGCTCCATTAGAGTAGGTACAGATATGATTTTGGATTAAATGTAAAATATTAGACACAAATAATGAAAATCTATTTGTGACACATATAATTACAGGATGGGATTGGATGTTTGAATATATATTTTTGAATATTAAAAAAGTTGTACTCAGTCCTTTGTATATGTTTATTCATGCAGCTGAAGAGTTGGATTATTTCAAAGCACCATCAGATGCTGAGTCATGTTCAATATGGTCATTCAAAATCTTGGATCCACAACATAACTCAAGGATATGATGAAAATAAATTGTTTAATCAAAATGAAAATAATTTATATTATTGCTACTACCACTTATAACTGCATTATTAAGGTGATTACAATATTTAAACCATAAATAATTCACAAAAACAAACATTATCTTCACTTCAAATATGGATTTATTATTGCAAGTTGTTTATGTGAATTAAGTTGAGGTTTTCCATTAAAATATTTAGCTTTATTTCCATTTTCTCCTCCCTTTACAGCCACATTACGATGTTGGTATCCTGCTCACCATTGTCCTAGCTATTTCTGACCATCGTCCTAATCTTCGCTTTCCGCTACAAGTGCAAGTCCAACCGGACCTGGGTGAGTGACAGCAGTGACATTTGTAAAAGTGAAAAGCTCACCAAAAACAAGCTGTCAGTCTTCATTGTGGATCCATTTGAAAGGATTTTTTAACCCTCTCTTCTTGTGTGTGCAGGACTCAGTCCATCAGCAGACCATGCGGGCCATCAGTCGCCTGGAGACCAAGACGTACAGCTCTCAGGGCTGCTCGGGGGCCCAGCGGCACCGCGCAGCCTGGGGCTCGGCCAGCAGCTCCAACTCCAGCCCCGTCTGTGCCATCTGCCTGGACGACTTCCTGGACGGGCAGGTGAGAGGAGATAGAGCAATGAATAATGTTTCTGTACATTTAACTGTCAGCTATTTATCCTCAAATCTTCCTCTGCCCCTCTTTTATCGCAGCATCTGAGGATCATCTCCTGCGCTCACGAGTTCCACAAAGAGTGTGTCGACCCCTGGCTGCTGCAGCACCGCACCTGTCCCCTCTGCATGCATAACATCATGGGTGAGGAAACATATATTACCAGTCAAGTTGTGGTAAAGATGGTGATTATTGGACTAGGAATGTACACTGTATTAAGATAGTAGCCCTGAGAGGTAAGAGAAAAATAATATCTGCTGGTCTGGTGATCTACGTACAATCTGACATTTTCATTTAAAGTTTTCTCTCCTGTATTTATGATTTATGGACAGGTGAAACAAATGGTTTTGTTACATATTTTAGTTCATTGGGGAAAACCTTTTTTGCACAGGAATTTGATGTAACGTACAATATATGTACCTTGTGTCTAAAGAGCATTGGGGGGATTGAAATTTAACGTGGAATAAAACACAATGCCTTTAGTTCTATTTACAACATGGTGTTGCTGAACGTCAGCCTCTTGTGGCCTAACTGAGTATTAATACAAAAATGTAACCTGACTATTTTATCTGTTTTCTTAGATACTGACCAAGTTGAAACATGGCAGAAGAAATATTATTTTTAAAGTAATCACCAGAGAGAAGTTATGTAGATCAGACTTGGATGGATCACATTTATATTTTTTCAGCCAGCCATTTCTTTTGAATTCTTAACCCCTGTTTAATCTGCAGTGAGACGTGTTGTATAATCAGAAGTTCCTCGTACCCTGTTCTGTGTATTCTAACTGCTGCTGGTCTCCACAGGGACGGAGCGGCAGCCCCAGAGGACCAGCAGACAGAGTCAGGAGCAGAGCCAGAGCTTCCTGCACCCTCAGCCCTTCAGCAGCCCACACAGCCACCTCTTCCCCCAGCACGCCATCCCCTTCTCTATGAGGCCCCACTATCCCCGGGGACCCTCAGGACCGTACCCCTCTCTGGGCCACTACTCTGGCTCATCTCCCGTAGACGCTCAGACACTACGCTTCCTCACCAGCAGGCAGCTCGCCTCCAGCTGTGGGTACCACCTTCCTGTGGAGGGTCCCGGGAGGCCCCATAGGATAAGTGGTAACTGCAGGACTTCCACTCACCACTACACCCCCCGTCGGCCCTGCCACAACAACTACCGCTCAGCCTGCCCTGCCCAGCGCAGTGCATCCAGCTCCAGACTGCAGCACGCGGCCTCCTCCACGCCACAGCCCCGCGGAGCGCCCCCCCCCACACCCGGCAGGAAGACGGCAGCTGCTCGGGGGGGAGCTACCACACAGAGCGCAGCGGGTACTTGGCTGATGGGCCAGCAAGTGACTCCAGTTCGGGGCCATGTCATGGCTCCTCCAGCGACTCCGTCCTGAACTGTACTGACGTGTCTCTGCAGGGGGTCTATGGCAGCTGGTCCACCTTCCGGAGCTCCCTGAGCAGTGACTATGATCCGTTTGTGTATTACGGGCCAGGTCCTGGGCACGGGCCCCGCAGGAGCAGCCTAGAGGAAGGGGCCCAGGCCCGGCCCAGGTCTCTGGATTCTGTTGTGAACAAAGCAGGCTGCCCCGAGGAGCAGCCGCAGACTGTGTTCAGCCACATCCACTACCACCGCCACAGACACCACCACTATGAGGAGGGGGAGCACAGCAGGGGCTCGGACGAGGAGCAGGGGGCCGCTGCTGCTGATGCAGCTGCTTCTGCTGCTCCTCTCCTGGACAAAGACTCGCCCATGTGCCCCCCTAAGCACAGCCCCTGCCAGTGCCCGAAGCCAGAGCCCACAGACCGGCCCAGTCCGGGGGCCGAGTGTCAGGACCCTAGCAGCCCTCCTCCAGTCCTGGTGTCCCCAATCCCCTTACAGCTTCAGCCCCACTGCTGCCACCAGGGACACGGACACCCTCCCGCTCCACTTGGGCGAGTGGGGGGCTACGTGCACGACGGCCCCTCTGTTCGCTTCCACCAGAGCCTGGATCTGCAGGACGACCGCAGCATCCACATCCACTATGGTCAGGGGCCCGGCTTCTGCTGCTCCCCCCCTGAGCTGCACCCCGCCCTGCTCCCCGTGCCCCTCATTCTGGACTCTGGGGGTATTGAGGAGTGGCCCTGCTATGCCGGGGCCCATGTTGTGTGGCAAAAGCGGGTGCAGCAGGCCCGCTCAGAGCCTCAGCTCTTGGGGCCCGGGGCCCCTATGGACAGGCCCCCCTGCAGGTTCTACCACGGTCCTGCTGCTGACTGTAACACAGACATTTGTTTGTACTGCCAAACTTTACACCACAATCAGGGTGGGTGACTCACTTGTTTATCTTTAATAACATGTCCAGCCTTTAGGACTTTATGGAATATTTACCACCAAAAGAATTACTCATGCCTCCATGGTTAATTAAGAATCCAAAAATGTTGAAAAGTCTTGCTGAATTGAGAAGAAGCATACAAGTGTAAGCAATAGTACAGACTTCTTTGGGGTGGAAATCATGCTTCCCTTTTTCAACATAGAAGACAAACAGAACAGCCAACAAGAAATAATAAAGAAAAAACATAGCAAGACAGGAATACCATACTTAATGACATACATAGTCATATTAGGAAAGAAAATACAAAATAGTATATATAATAGAAATAAATAAATAAACTTAAAGGGTGCAAATGAGCCCAGACTACCCCCCCCACCCTTTCCCTCCCCGAGCAGTGCCACCCAAGCCATTAAAAAACGATTGTTTGTGCAATGCATCTCAGCCGACCGTCCCCCTTGTAAATGAAACCATTGGACCCCACATCCTTTCATATTCCCCCAGTCTATGTTTTAGGATATATCGAATTCTTTCCAAATGCAGAGTATTAGACCCCAGCCACACGAGGACGATAACGCAAACGGACCGCAATCGTTATCAAAAAAGTCTTCCGTCCACACGCAACAGGCACCAGAAACGTGTACGTTCACACGAGACCGCTTGAAAGAGCTGGAGACGCTGTAGTACATATGCCAGGCCTGTAAGTGGCGCTGTAGTCTGCCACAAAAGCAGCAAAGAAGACTTCCCGCACATGTTTGCCATGGTTGCCCTTCTGTTTATTCTACGCTGTGGCTCTTTTTCTCCCTCCATGAGGCAAGCGTTTGCTCCTGCTGTAATTCTCTCCGGTAGTCCACCAGCAGATGAAAAACACCCACCTCTCCGCCTCTTCCAAGGGACGAGGGGACCGTGCAGCAGAGTTTCAGTTAGATTTTTTTTCGCCGGTCAACATGTCCGTTAAAGTTGAAATCTTCCGGACAAAATTAGAAAAGTGCCGGTCAAAGGTCTTCTTGTTATTTATTGAGCTTTAAAACAAATGAATAACGACTCTATATAATAATATAAGAATAAAAAAAGGAGCCTCTCTTTTCCTCCCCCTCTTCTGACAGCCCAGCAGCTGATCTCTGAGCAGGAGAGGCGGGGCTATTGCGTCATCGTTATCAGGAAATGGTCGTATAGGCGTAAACACGGAGCCGTTTGCCCCCCAGAGCGTTTCGTTTGCAGATCTACCCACCTAGGGACCCGTTATCGTTATCGTTTTCTGTGTTTCCGTGTCGGCCTCGTGTGGCCGAACCGTCTATCTGATAGAGAACTGTAGCCGATACGACCGTTATCGTCCTTGTGTGGCCGGGGCTTCAGTCAATGTCGTTATCCTAGCTTTAAAACTTGGCACATCCATTGATTTCCATAATAGGAGAATCGATTCTTTGCACACAGGAGACCATAGAACAGGAGATGAAGTTGTGCATTTCGAAGTGTGTTACATTGTTCAGATGTGCCCAGTAAAACATCACTATTTAAAACTCTGCCATATAAACAGTATGCACCAGCGTTATCCTTAGCTGTTTATTTAAAAAATGTATGTATTTTTTCAAATTATATTTTGAAGATGACTTGAGCTGTTTTTGTGCCCACAGGATCAGAAGAGGAGTCCGGTGTGTGAGAACTTGTTGATAATCAAGCTGCTACCCGGGAGCCAGAATGGACAGGCCTCTCATTGGCTATCGCTCTCACGTCTTCCACATTGTTCCACTAGCAATTCCCCCCAGGATTCAGAACTCACACTGAAATGCTCTTTCGCCTGAGTTGGATTGAAATTATTATAATTGAATCATGCTAAAACTTAAACAAATACTTTTTTAAGTGAAGACCCTTCATAATGTTGAAAATACATTGAATTATTAAAATGTTTGGGAGCTGCTGGAGAAACGACTCATAAACCACAAAGAGGCAACAAGGTTTTTCTGCATTTCTCCTCTTCAGATATATAGGAATAATATTCATTTTGGATATGATATCACAAGTTCCCACGCTCCTTAGCAATGAATTATCCTTGCTTAGGGTGTTGAGCCCTCATGAAGTGAGACTCCATCTCTGCGTTGCTCACTCTAAAGCAAAAATAACTTGATTTATCTTCGAGGTACTATCTTTCACTCTCGTGATCTGCGTCTTCCTTCGCTGAGTCCAGTCTCAGCTGAGAGAAGCTTTTCTCTCCAGCCTACCTCAGCTCAGATTTCTTAACATGCCTCACACAGGGGGTCTTTAAAAGGTACTGCTGTAGTGATTCTTTTTATGTCACAACCAAGTAGCTCCCACAAACTCAACAAAAAGTGTTCCTCTTGGCAGTGCGACCTGTCCAAAATGGAGAGGAAGGTTGATGCTCAGCCCCTCACACAGCGAGCGTTCAATGAGGTAGCTGAGCCTTGCATGGGCCCTTTTTCATTATTTCAATAATGGCAGCTGTTTTGTTTGTGTTTTGGATCATTTTCTGTATTTTTTTTTTGTAGTATGTAATTATTATTTTTTTATCCTCTCAAAATGAACCGGTTTGACTGAATTATCCCGTCGTCATTACAAGCTAGTGTAAACTTGTTCTCGTCATTTCTCTTGCCATTGGTGTCTTCACATGTTGGTGCTGTTAAACCTCCCGATCAGTGAAAAGTGTACAGGCCACAATACAACCATATCCTCTGCTGCTTTAACGGCTAATTCATCGCTATGTTGTGTTATTCTCCAAGGGTGTACCCTCCCTTTGTCTTCCAGGAACTAAAGCTCAAGGAAAATGTTCTACATTGCCGCTATAGACCAGAAAAAGTGATTATTTCATGATATAACCAGAGTAAAGCCATGTAACCGAACAGTCCCGAAACATCCTTAAGCACTTTGAATTGCCTTGTGTTGAAAGGTGCTATATAAATAAACTTGCCTTGCCTTGCCTTGCCTTAAGCTCTGCAAGCTTCCCCAGTGATTTTCACCCTGACCCTAGAACAGACATTCTAAGTTGTTTTATCTCCTGTGTTTATGATTTAGGGTAAATCTATAAGGATACGTAATGATCAGGATAAGCAGTTTTTGTTATCAAAATGAGTATTACAATAGCAAACGAGTAACCAAAAAATCCCCTAAAATTATACTGGCAAATATTACATTTTATTTTCTCACCTATATCACAGATTAGACTTTGTTTTTTCCAGTTTATACTAACTGTGGCAAACATTGTATCACATCCTGGTTATAATACACATATAACAATATCATGTAAACATTTTTTGGGGAATAACTTTCCAAGAACTGTTCGAAACGCAATTATAAAATCATGAACTGAAAATCTGATACTGCCCTGACAGAAAAGATATCCTGGAAAAACCTTCTTGTCATAAGTCATAAACACAGGAAATGCATCATTTCAGATCAGACGTAAAAAAAAATGCATTACAATAATTGTTTTTCTCATTTGCCTCTCAGGGCTTCTTAAGTAATGATACCCCAATCGGTGAAAGGTCCTGTGTTGTTGTACATTTGCATTGTTCTAAATTAGATTCAGTATTTATATTTTTTTAATTAAGATGAAATATTTACGCCATCCTTTAAAAGTAAAAATCTAAATATCCATTATCTTCTCACCCCACCTATTTAGCCCCTCTGGCAGACAGAACATGTGTCCAGGAAAAATTACTCTGATAACTTAAATTGTGTGGATAGTAGTCAGAGATGGCTTTATTTGTTTATCTTTAACACAGACTCCTCTGCTAGGCTAAATTATCACACATTAGAGGAATTAGAATGCTATAATAGTGTGGACTTCCCCTTAAAGGCTAAGTGAAATGTGAATGGCTTTACTCAGCAGCAGTCAGATACAGTTTAAGCAGACACAGAGCTCATGGGTATTGCAATGTAACCAGTAGCACTTAATAAAAAGCCTTATATGTGCCTTATTCATAAAGAAACTGTTCATAATCCTCATTCAGGACCCCCCCCCCATACACACACACACACACACACACTCACACACTAAGCTCTTACCTGTCCAACCAAAGAGGCAACATCTTGAGCACAGTGAACTTATAACTCAGTATGTGTTGGCAACCCTTTCCTTAAATATAAGAACAAAATGTGCTTTTGTGAAGAGGACCTGACAGAATTGAAGTGGAAATAATTTTGGAATCAATATTTTGGACAATCATGCAGATTTTTTAACTGCAGTCATTTGTTCTTAAACCCCACTTTGAATGTGTCAACGCAGCGTCCTCCAGACAAAGTGTCCTTGTCTGTTATTATTGGTGCCTAAACAGCCTCTGTCTGAGATGGAAATTACTGAATTACAAGCAACACTTACAGGCTTGAACAGATTTGATAATTTAAAGAACAAAACATCCCCAAACCGTAAGCACATGAAAAATGATGCCACATAATATCTGATGTAATTTCATCCTGTTCAAGATCTTTCTCTTTGTGTGGTTTATTTTTTATTTTTTTTAATGTTTTTGCAAGAATAATGAGCTGAAACTGCCTTTTCTATGAGTAAAAAAAATCCCTCCAGAACGTTAAGGGATATGTCAGTATATTTTGGATACTTTGTGTACAAAAAGAGAACAAACAAAAAAACAAATGAAATAGTGTTGTATTTTATATATAATAGAACATTTCAATATAGTGACATGTCACTAATATATTTATTTACTAATATATTTATCCATTTTGTCCAGGTTTGAAAGAGTGGTTTCTGTATAGACTGAATGTTTCTATATGGAAACTGAGCAGTGCCATCACAGATGTATCAACCTGTCTTCATTCCAATTATATGCAAATAAATTATTTTGAAATAAAACCTCTGTGCTGAGGATTGTTTTTATTCTTTTAATTCCCAAAGTGTTAGATGAGCTGGGTTTGTGTTCAATGACATATAGTTGACCCAAACGTACCCAACATAGTTTAAAAATAGATGTCTAGAGCTAAATAACTTCTTCTTTTTCACACTGATGTACAATTTAACTCCTCAAGGACAACCTATTAAAGAAGGGGAAGAAACATTGGTATAATATGTTGCACAATGTAATCCTTATTAACTGCAAGAATTGTACGATAAATGGAAAAAACAGAATGTCAAGCAAACAAATGTGTGTTACAAGAATGCTTACATTCCATAAAGATCTTCACCCTGAAGAAAACCATGCTAAATAAAGCCTAATACTTACAGAATACAAAATTATTTTTGCTTCAAATCCAAAAGTGGTTAATTTACACATGTAATAAAAAATATGTATTATTTGCCAAACATGTATTTGCTTGCATAATATATGAGCAGTACTTCCACATCTGTGTCATCAGACCTCACAATGATGCGGGAATATGACTGCAAGATGTGTGGCATGGAGCTCCATCCTTGTGTCTGCCTCCTCCTGATCACTGAGTGATGTCAAACTGCTGACTCCTGCTGTGCAGATGCTCTTCACCTCCTCCCCTTCGAAATCTCATTTGCAATAGAACTGTACCAGATATATCCATACAACTACTGGTTAGTGTTCAATAGCACCCTAGATAATTCAGTAATGGTATATCTTTTAGGGATTTCTGATAAATGAGAGAAAAGTGATGGAGTCCTATGTTCCTATCACCAAAAAGTACAATTTCCGTCTAAACTAAATCTAAGTTTACAGGACTATAATTCAGTATTCTTTTAGGTAAATAATTGAAAAGAGTGATCATTCTCAAATTATGGGCTTTTGTGTCACCTTTCCCACATTCGGCCTGGTCTAATTTGGCTCTTTTTCAGGGATTGGGGTAGTTCTAAAGAACAACCAAAAAAACATTTTTCCCCCCAAAATAAAATTTGACAACAATCGATTTCATTAATGGGAGACCCTAAAGATAAGAAAAATCATTGTTGTGTTTTGTTCTACCTCGGGTAGGGGTATCTCAACATCTGAGGGCCCTTCCTGCTAGACTAGTAGGCCCCTATGGGTTTTGGAGAAATTGGCCTTCACACAAAAACAACCTGCCTACCAGCACCTCTAAACCTCACAGCTTGACATACCTTGCTTCTTAAATAAAAACGGTTGTTTTCATTTTCCATATATATATTTTTTAATAATGTACAATTTAATTTAAATCATTTACAGATTGGTATCAATGTTCTCATGTAACTTTGGCAAACAAGCAAATACTTTCCAAATTGTTGAATTTTTCCCAAATACTAACCAACCTTCATGAACATGAGTATCTTTATTTAGTCGTACAACATGCAATCTATAAGCAACATATCTAATAGCAGTTTTTCTCATGAAGATAATCAACACTCGGTACATGTGTTTTATAGCGCTGTTGAGATGTACAATGATATTTGGTGTGGTTTGGCAGCAGCAGGCGAGCATCAGTTCGAGGCTTTGGCCTGCCTGTCGGATGTCATCTAGGTGAGGTTGCCACGGGCTTCTTGGTCCTTCTCAATGGCCTCAAAGAGAGACTTGAAGTTTCCTGCCCCAAAGCCCTGGAGAGAGAACAAGCACACACAGATGGCTAATTACCCAAAGATCTGCCGTCTTCTGTGTCATTCCTTATGGCTCTGGGGTTCTTCTCTCAGTAACCGTACAGTAAGAAACTTTGGAGGCTGGGAAATATTCTCACAGGGTTCAATGGGAGCCCACCAGGGGCTCGCAAACTAATCATGTCAATATTTCTATCGTGGATAATCAAAAGATCAAGTGTTGGGTGGTTGCTCTGAGAGCTTCAGTTTCTCACTTTCATGCATTGTATCCACATCTGCAGTGAAACGCTGGAGAGTGACATGATGCGCCTGTTCTGACAGGCAGAATGGGTGCTGGGTATGGAGTGCCACAGGGTGCAACCCAATCCAAAGATCCCCCTCGCTGTGAAGCAGGGAGCCTTTTAATCTGCTCCTGTGATAGATTTACTGGGGTTTTACAAGTGGGCTGCTGTTATACTGTTCACTCTGGGTGGGAGCTGCAAACAGGTGTTCAGGCCGCTCTCACTCTTTAAGGTGGTGAGGACGTTAGAAGCAGCACCACATTCCTATTGGTCTCACCCCAAAAACACGATAAGACTACCATTAGTGGACCAATCATACCAGTAGTTTGTGTAACTGGCAGTAACAAAGTACATTTACTCAAATACTGTACTTTAGTGCAATTACAACTTTTACTTTACTGCTGTATACTACAACAATATTTTACTATACTATACAACAATTATTATAATTGAGTAATTATATGTATGCAACTTTCCACTTCCGCTTCTCTATTCAAAGGGAAATAATCTCATTTTTATTCCACGACGTTTGACTGTTTACTCTTCAGATTATAGTTTTTCTCTCGCTTCCTTTTCAGTGAAAACCCTTAATCTCCAGATGTTGAATGTTTGTGATAAACTAAAGGATAAAGTATTCCTTTATTCCTTTATTCCTTTTTACTCATCATAAACTGACTTTTGTTTATGTGTTTCTCCAATGACAACGACAAAGCTACAACCAAATGTTGATTTTATCGAATATGATGCATTGCTGTGCATTAAACTACCAAAGGTTGCAGATGTCAATACAATAGTAAAACTGACGGAGGCAATATTTTATATGTTCATACTTTAGTTACATGTGTGTGCTAGCCTATTAGTACCTTAACTTATAATAATAAGTAATTCTTCCACTTACAAAGTGATTGTGCCGCTGAATGACCTCCAGGAAGAGAGTCGGTCTGTCCTGCACGGGCTTGGTGAAGATTTGGAGGAGGTAGCCATTGTCGTCAAAATCAACTAAGATTTTCAATTCCTTAAAAGTTAAAAACACAGATTTATAGTTTGGAATGACACAAGCAAAAAAGGTTGTAAATAATGTCAGGCTTTCTGAAATCACACGTCTCCTCACCTGTAAACGGTCCAGGTCCTCCTTTACCTTGATCTTGGCGGTTTTGAGATTCAGCCGCAGGTTGTCGTAGTACTTGTCAGGCGCTGAGAGGAACTCCATCCCCCGGGCGCGCAGGTTCACCACCTGATTCAAGCGCACACAAAAGAGAAGCAGCTTCTTAAACTTGCCTTTACTTGCAGATTTGCGGAGGCTGTGGGAAAATGAAGCTGAATACTGTAGGGGAAATGAACGGGGGAGACTCACAGCTTGGATAATGTCTGACGTGTTCAGGGCGATGTGCTGAGCACCTGGGCCCCCATTGTAGTCCACATATTCCTGTGAGGAGGGGGATGCAGAACATTAAAGCACTGAGACAGGGCTATTAACCAGGAGGTTTCAACACAGGGAGATGCCCATTAACATTGAGTTCATGTAGTACTTAATTGCACAACTGTTCCTCAAGCTGCTGGGGACTAACTGCAATAAACCTCTGCGATACCCTGCAAATGACATTTAGCTTTTACAGTTAACACATTAAATGAGCTGGGCACTTGCAATTCACAAGTTAGTACAACATGTATTGTTAGAGGTAACCATATAGTGCACCTTTGGGTGGATGGGAAAATAACACTTAGTGCAAATGATACTGATTCCCATAGGCGGTTCAGAATTCAACAGTTACCCATAAGAAAAAATAAAACCATACAACTTAGAACATATTAGGCATGAACAAAACCAAGCATTTAAGATGGTCTCTGTACCATGATGTTACTCCCCTGTGCTACACCAGAGTGATAAACCCCTGTGAACCAATGCTACAAGCTGATGAAGTCACACCTGGATTTGTGACATTTTCTTCCCCCTTGCAGGTTCATTGATAGGCATCTTGATGGTCTCCTCATAGTTGGTCACCACTACGGACCTCAGTGAGCTGTACTGCGTGTGGATCTGCTTGTCGTCTATTGACCAGAACCGGTGGAACATCAAACACTTCTCATACCTAAAAACATACCCGGACAGAATATGTGAGCATGGACTAAATGAGCAAGCTCAGTCTTATTTCATTACTTAAATTAGCTAATGTCTTTTTTTTACAGAAGCCTCAAGAGACACAGGAGAAACATTCTGGTGATCCTTCTTTGGTTTTCCAAGATGATCTTAATTAATCCTTTATTTTTTCTATCTGCGAAACAGATGAAAAAATAATTCAGGGGGATTTTTATTTTGAAATCGGTATATTTTTTCTTAGGGTTGTAATACGTATAGCAGCAACAAGAGGCTGATGTGCACCACTACCTTTATAGTAGTTCTTAATAAGACTGAAAGCACTAATGCTTCTTCCAGATGAGTTATATTTTCAATGCACAAAAGAGGTATTATAATGTGTGTGTGTCACATGTCACACGAATACTAAGGTCATATGTCATTTTAAGATAAGATAGAGCTTTATTGTCTCCCTTAGGAGAAATTTGTCTTGGGCATCGAGATAATACACATAAAACATTCAGGTCAATCAGTTATAGATACAGAACAGAGATCACATATCACATGGCAAAGAAACAAACAAGAAACATACAGGTACAGCACTTTCCCTATTGCACATATCCCTATTGCACATACATAATCAAATTCCACTTTCCCTATTGCATTCATACATAATCAAATATTGCACTTTTCCCTATTGTATTTATACATAAATCAAATATTGCACCTTCCCTACTGTATTTTGGGAGTTAAAGGCAAACAACCTACCGTCATTTAGTGAATGAAGACATGTTTGGTAGTGGTGCACTTCAGCCTCTTGTGGCTTAACGAAATGAGTATTACAACAACAAACGTTTAATCAAGATTTTGTTTCACAGATGGAAAATAAATAATAAAGAACTATGATATTTTTTTTGTGTCTGTTCTAAGGTCGTAATGCCAAGATGGAAAATTATTTTCACCCGACTTAGAAAATGGATCATCAGTTTTTT